ACGCTGTGAGAAAAACATAGTACCCAAGGGAAGAGGTAGTTGTATGCTTGTATATATTTTTGTGGCAAGATAAACAAAAGAGAGGTGTTTCTGTTATTAAACGTACCCTCATTTATATGTATGGGGTGGACAAAATAGTATAAACACAGCAGTATAACTCCACAGACAATTCAACAGAACCACAAACTACAGCATCCAAAATTATCATACTGTTGAATCAACACCTCTCTACAACAGTTATAACCATAATGAAAGTGGGATTCACTGCAGGACTGCTGTATTAAACTGCATCAGTTTTAGCTCGGTGTAGGCTACCTAATAAACCGGCATCTGACTGTATGAATTTCCTGCTGTTTACCCGCTGCCCAAAAGCAGATGTGTTACGGACCATTTGCAAATACAGACACGAACTGCGAGCAACAACCAGCTGAGAGACAATCACGCTTGTTCCAATGACCGCAGAAGAGAAGCACAGAGTCGTTTACTACTCGCTTCCAACTTAAAATAATTCAGTGATTCTGAACTCGGAAAACAAACAGGAAATGAAATTGAGCATAGCGTTAGTTCAGGCAGGCCACGAAGTCAGGCTTAGCTTTCAGTTACAGCTATATCATACGAGCACAGCTAGTCATAAACATACTTCAGCTGATTCCTCTAAGCTTCCCATTGGATACCATACACAGTCAGCTGACAGCTCACCTGATTTCCTCAAGCATCCAATTGGCAAACATCATGCATGGCGCCTTATTTAAGTTGCTTTAGCCAGCCTGCCTATCTCTGCTGCTCCCTCTACAAGCCTTTTGCACCCACCTCCACCCCAGCTCCTCCTTTTTATGTTGTTTCTAATTAATCAATGTCATTTTCTGATTGCCATTGATGCTGCTCTGTTCTGTACCCTGGGGTCTCTGCTGCCGCTCTCCTTGTCTTAAACTTTTCCATGTATGCACATGGAAGGGCAGGGGTGCTCTCCCTGCCTTAAGGTTTTCCACGTAGGCACGCGGAAGGACAAGGAGGTCCCAGAACAGAGCCATACCGCCAAATGTAATTCTGCTTGGAATATAAGATATTTTGACGAAAGTGGTCCTGACTGAACTAGGTTTTGCTACGTAACATCTGGTTTTAAATTCCATTGCTGAGGACGACAAAAAGTAAAAACATTTTGGGCGGCCATTGCCGATATTCTCTGCCGGCCTCACCTGATTTTACCATCCTGCTCACAATTGTAATACAACATCCAGTTTGCTGTCTACTGTCTGCCTGAATTTATGTGGATGCAGCATTAATGTGATGTTACTTCACATCACCTCACATGGACAGGACATTAGACAGTGATGGAGTAATATTAAGTGTAAACCAGTGGGATATAAATTATGGAGACAAAGAAAAGAAGAATGATATATGATGCAAAGAAAGGCACAGCTGTTAAAACATTTGTGATGACTAAATGGGATGGACTTTTCACTTTCGACCCCAGGTGCAGTATGAATTTTCCCCAGAGAGTAGCAGTTTTCCTGGAAGCTCAAGTACCCTTTCATCTTGGGATCTTTAAAAAAGAAAAATAGGTCAAAATCAACTCCACTGAAACCCGGCAAACTCGTTCATTATAACTGTATTAAGTATAAACATGTAGGAGCTAAAGGGCCCAATAAGACCAAAAACCAACCAGAGTGACTTCACTTGATGGTTTCCAACAACTGAATGTGATTTGAAACTTCTACCAACAGCTAGATGCTGTTTGGTAGATGGGTCTGAGATGCCACCTAGTGATTCTGATAGGACCACCCCAGTAAAACTACACCCTCCTTTTCCTGACTCAGCGAACGGGGATGAGTGGGACTGGTTTCCATGGCAACAGTAGACAGAGGGAGAGAGAGAGAGAGAGAGAGAGAGGAAGGACAGAGAGTGAAAAGGAGGCTGGCCCATGTACACCCACACAAACACCCACTCAAAAATACACTACACTAGATATACAAACACACACACACACACACACACACACACACACACACACACACACACACACACACACACACACACAGGAATGTTTTAGTGATAGATATTGTAGATCACATTTTAAAGGTTATTCTGTTTTAATTCTTTGTTGGGAGCCAAAAAAAAAACCTCATGAATTATACAGCACTTGTTAATTTAAAATTAAATAGGAGGCATAGCTCACCAGTACAAAACACTTTCAGAAAGATCCGCGCCTTCTGTTAAGCTATTAAAGCAGATTGCTCTGAAGGATGTGGAAGAAGCACAATGGGAAATAATCCTTCATTAGTCAGAGATCCAACTGTTGACACTCATTCTCTGTCTGTGAATGTTGTGGGCAATAAACTTTATTCCCACAGCAGACATTTGGAACTTAATGAGAAAGTCTATCCACAAGAGTGACATAACCTGGATGTGGAGTCTGGTTGAGTACCAACATGCTCATCAAAAAACAATCCTGTCTTTATCATTCTAACAGTTGGCATTTCATAGACCCTCCACTGAAAATGTGTCTAAATCTTGAGCCATGTGTGCATCTTAGAATAAGATAAACTCGCCATGGTTATTTTTGATAGCTTTTTTGATAACTAAAAACAGCGCTTTGTCTGAGGTTCTGTTGCATGTTTGGAGGTAATTGTTAAATAATCTTTGTGAGGTCTTTCACACACAAAATGTGGCTGAACTTTAGACTGGAAAGGCCATATAGCGTCAGTGCTGACCCTAAAACAACTACACTCTATATTAGAGCAAGATGTCTTGATTTGCTGTGGATGTTTGTCCTCAGATGATTAATCACAACAAAATATATCAATGTTAATGAAAATCCACGAGGGACCTTGACGCTCCAAGAGGATGAACCATTTTAGTTTTGGACACCCTACATGCTTTCCTCTAAAGCCACCTTAATGATTAACTTTGAACACAAGATCAAAAGATAAAGGCTAGATTACCATAACATTTGTTCTGGTTATTTGTAGTCTACAGCAGTGGATCTCAACCAGCTCCACTCAAGGGGAAAATTTTAATTTCAATATTATTTAATCGGCCAAAGGTTAGCCTAACGAGAGAATTTATAAGAATGATTATTCTGTTCACAGGTTTCACACTATTTACTGTTGCAGCTCTGAAGCCTGAAATCTGATAATTTAAGGGTCTTATGTAAAGTCTGCATGACTTTAATGTCTTAATGTGTCTTTCTCTTTCCTCTTTGACCACCAACAAACCACAAAAAACATTCCATGTACGAGATAATACACACTGTTTCAGCATGAATTTCACTGATTGTCGGATTAGTTTGTATTTAAAAGTTTCTCCTGAACCTCAGTGGCTTGTGTGATTAAACAAAACCGATCTACCAGCTGCTGCTGCCACAGCTGCGGGTTTCACAGTCACCTGAGTACCTGTGTGCTTGTTCATTATCACATGGTGTGACGTTGGTAAAAGGGATCAAGGGGGAACAATAGCAGCTTGGTGATTGTGGGGAAAACAACAGCCTTACAGTCTTTCTATGGGTGGCTGGAAAACCCTGTTGTGCAATGTATGTAAGTAAGTTTTTGTGTTTGTATGTAAGTAAGGGAATCGCCAGCTGTTGGTTTCAGATTACATTTCTGTCAAAAATATTGACATTTACCTACTCCTCAAATGCCCTGGTTGGAGCATTCTCTGTAGGTGATCTTTTTTATTGGAGCTATTTTGTAGTGATTTTTTGATTTGCTAGTGTTTCTGTGATCATGTGATACATTCTAAGTAAAGTGTTGAATTACTAGGGCTGCCCCTGAAACCTCAATGACTCAAGTCAAGACCCAGGGTTGCCTATACACAGAGCGACAGCATGGCAGGCTGTAAACTTTACAAACAGCATCTCAAAATGACCACAAACCACAAAAGTAACTGTGATGGCAGTGGAGAAGGGTGATAGATAATGGAGGGGAGTCAGCTAAATCACTTTGAACCTTTAACAACCTCCTCTACTGCCGTCCACTGTGATTGACTCTTAAGCTGACAGCGCTATCAGCAGCCCGGCAGGAGAGACACTTGGTTGTGCAGTGGGATTTTACTTTGTCTGACTGTGTGGAAATCACATCACAAATGACGAGATAAACGTGATGTAGGTTAAAACAAAAATCTTCGTATTGGACTGCCAAAATTAGTTATGTATTTGTGTATGTATGTATTTTTACTCTTGTGGAATCCATCTACTAGATTAATCAGTGATCTATCTCCTTTTGATAATACTTATTTGTGCCATGAGGCAACACACAAATGTTTCCAGTAAAAACCTCAAAGGCCAACTGCTGTCTTTACTGGAAGCGTGTTTACCTCACTGAATAGCTGTTGGGCTACATGAGAGCAGAACAGCCTTAGTATGCTTCAAATGAAGTGCTTGTCGGACCATCTGAAGACCCCTTCACCCCACACCTGTCCAGTGTTGGAATTGATTGGACTGTGTATGTGTTTGTAACTTTCCAAAACCGACAATCACACCCACTTCAGACAGCAATTGGCCGCATGCAATGATTGACTCTTCACACAATTGCTTTCAGTCCATTTTTGTTTGTGCAGCCTTGTGCAACACTGTGAATACTTTCAAGACCGCCTGAAAGCGTATGCCATTATCCCCGTTTTTATGACTGCAGTGAGACAGCAAAGGCAGAGTTTAGGGAGGCAGCCAAGAGGAGGCAATGACGGCAAGCGTTTCCCCTTGCCTTTAAGTGGTCTTTTGAAACAGGTATAAACACTTTTCTCCAACACCTCCCCTTAAATTTATTTCCCCTCTTTCCTTTATAACTCTAATATTAATGTACCATTTCCTTGCTATCTAAAACTGTTTAACTTCTTCAGCCCTCCTGCACTTCATCCTCCTCACCCTTCCACTTTTCATCACCCCTCCTCCAGCTCTGTAGTCTGGGTGATAATTAGGAAAGCTGCCGATACTGACAGACACAACTCTGAGAATGTGACATACAAAAGCGCCTCTCCTGTCTTCTCCTCACCCCCTTGTTTCCTACCTGTTCTGTGGGCCAATGGGGATTCAGATGCCGGTGTATGAGGCGTTGGTCCAGCTGTCAGTCACCCTGAAGATCAATGGTGGGTGGAGCTTATATCCCCGGGTGACGGCCTGTCGTTGGTCAGGTTCATCTCTGCCTCCTTGTAAACCCCCCCACTGGGCCCCAGCAAGGCCTTATGGGTACGACGTTCTGCTGAACATGTTCGTGTCTGACTGTAGTTCGGTTAAGCAATCAGCAGCTGTTTTCTCGTTGAATCTTCTTGTGGCGTCTTCATATAGGTTTCCTGTACCAACATACAACAAAGAGAAAATCATACTTCAGTGACTCAGCTCAACCTTTGCTAAAGCGCTTTTAGTGACAGTTAGGGGACAGATTTACCAGCAAAATTCTTAGTTATTTTTCAAACAACGGCTCCTTTATTTCAGACAAAGCTTCTTTTTTCTAACCATTGATCTCTAACTTAGTTGCTTGAAATGACAACTGTCACAAACACATTTTATCAGCCAACTTTCCCAAACCAAAGAAATAAAAGAACCACCAGGCAGGATTTTCTATATACATGTATCCACAATCTGATGACACAGTCATTTTTAGCAAGAATATAAAAACTATTTATCGACTGCAGAACCAAAACCAAAAAGAAAGCCTAAGGCCTGTCAAAATATTAACAGTAACAAACTGGATATATTATAATTTAGTAATCCCGAAACTATAAAAAAAAAAAGCCTTGTGTTTTGTGCTGACTCCAAACCCCTTTCCTTTGTCACTTTAAATAAAACAAAATACTTGTCTCTCATCTCCATTAGCACAATCAGTTAAGATGAAAACTTGCATAAAATATCAGTGTGACAAAGTTGGGTTGATGTTTTGTCACATCTGTGTGATAACAAAGTGAGTGTTTTGGCACTGATGGGATACAATAGCAGTATTCAGTAAAGAGTGAAATGAAGGATTATACTGAGGATTTTCAGCCCCTGCATCATTGGATGTCTTTTATCTTTTCTGCCAGATGTTTTAACATTTTAACATCTGTCACTATTACCAGAAATGGTTTGAATAACTTTTAAATCTTCTGTGTCTTGGGTATATTCACAACTACAATTATGTTGTAGTTGAACTGAATTTGTTCGTGGGTTCATAAGACCTGCTACTTAATTTTTCCTTTGCAGACATAAGCACACACACACTCAACTAGCATTTGGCATCCTCATCTCAAATTATAAATTATATAATAATGTTACTTGAAGCACACTGCACAACACTTAAAATATTTACTATTGAGTTTAAATTCATTTAAATTGAGAACATTCTCAAACCTGGACTGGCAAATGTGGACTACAACACAAACTATACACCATTTGTTTCCCTTCACACATGGTGACTAATGCAAGGAGGTCCATCAGTCGGCTCATCAACACAAAACTAAATCTTTACAGTCTACAAAAGAAAGAAAAGATTTGCTCTCAGAATTAAAATTATTTTCTTAATTGACGGCAAGATGAACAGTGAGTCGAACCACCAATGAGATAACAGCGGAAGCCTTCCGGCATGTGATACGAGTTTGTCCGTCCAAGCAATCAAAATGACATCCAATAATGTGGGGATGCTCGTCACCATGGCGATGCAGCATGAGTCATTGTGAGTTTCGTTACGGAGACAAAGGCCCGTGTCGAATGTATGATTATGATTAAGACAGAGAGCCTAGATACCAGCCCACATACACATATTGTATATAAATATACTGTATTATATAGAGACAGTTCAGTCTTTCAGCCTGTCGTTTCCACTGTGCACACTCAATAATTCTTACTCTTTCAAAATAAAAGCATCTTAACTAACCTAAAATTGCATTTTGTGTACTGTCACTCTATCTAGGTTAGTATCTCTGTTACCAGCCACACCAATTTTGTTAAGTGTTGCAACTAAGGATTATTTTCATTAGCGATTAATATGTTTCTCTCGATTAATCTATTAGTTGTTTGGTCATAAAATGTGATAAAATGGTGAAAACTGTTTACCAAAGCCCAAGATGATGTCCTCAATGTCTTGTTTTGCCCAGAACCAAAATAATTTCAGTTTAATGTCAATGAGGACTCAAGAAACTAGAACATATTTACAGTTGAGAGGCTGAAATCAGAGAATTCGGACAGTTATTCTTCAGAAATGACATCATAATAGATAGCAATTAATTTAATAGTTGACATCTAGTCAATTAGAGGTCCAGTGTGTAACAATTTGGAGGATCTATTGCCAGAAAAGGAAAATAATAGTCATAACTATGTTTTCATTAGTGTATAATCTACTGAATATACAAATTGTTAAGTTTTTGTTACCTTAGAATGAGCTGTTTATATCTACTGACATGTTTCTACAGTAGCCCGGAAGGGACAAACTCTGGCTATAGATAGGGGGTCTAGATAGGGACTTGGATAACAAATTTACACACTCTTTGGTTACAAGCCTTAAAAAGCATAAGTTTCACCAAATCACAGGTTAAAAGTAATTATGATGTCTTCAACAAACTGTGCAGTTTTCCCCACAATCAATAAACAAATACATAGGCATATTACTCAGCTCTTAGGCCAAGCCTTTTCATTTTGACAGAGCTGGAATAAATACTCTGAATGCTGACTCCCCTGCCCACCCACAGTCTGTTGGCTGCTTTACCCTGTTCGTATCTGTGAGAGAAAAAAAAACAAAGCCAGTGCCTCCTGTTGGGTGAATAGCTGCAGTTTCTCAAGGATGTGATCCGTGGTGAAAATGGGTTGCTTTTAAAATAACCAAAGTGTTCAGCATGAAAGTCAGACACAAAGTATGCCATACCCCCATATCTACTGTAATTTCTGAATGCAAGAACCGGAGAAATAACAAAAAATAGTGTTTACTGTCTGTCTTGACTCTCCTTTGAACTCATTCACATCAAGTAACTTGTCCTCCCTTTCTTCTTACACCCTCTTTCACCCTCCTTCCATCCCGTCCATCCTGGCAAACACAGTGGGAGCGAAGGGTGAATTAATAAAGGAGTGAAAGTGGAGCACAACTCCCTGAGGTCCGCCTTTTCTGGGACGCTGACACAGAGAAACACACAGGCGCACACACACACACACACACACACACACACACACACACACACACACACACACACACACACACACACACACACACAAATGTAAGGCCTACATGTGCATAAAGCCATATGCATACTTCTCATGCATTACTGGGGTGATGAAATGGGAAGAGGAGGAGACACAGAGAGAACAATCCCTACATCCCATCATCTGCATGCCCCTGCCTTCGGGTGGGAGGAACATGATGAGGGAGGAGAGGGGGAGTTATGAGTGGAGGAGGTTAAGGAAGGAGGAGGAAGAGGAGATGGGAGGGCAAGAGCCACGTGAGGAGGGATGCGCGGAGTGTCTCGCACAAGGCGGAGAAACTCACAATGGCCCTTTTGTTTAATTTCTTTTCTTCACCTCTGTTCTTTCCTTCCCTCTTCTTTCCTTTCTTTTCTCCTCTTCAGTCCTCTATCCTTTAATTTCCTTTAATTTTACAATACTCCTATACTTCATCATTATTCTACGCTTTTCTACTCTCCTTTGCCCTTTCCTTTCCTTTACTTTCTTCTATCTCTCCTCTCTTTCCTTTCCTTTCTCCCTTCTCTACTCTGCTTTACCGTCCTCTCCTCTGTCCATCTAGTCCTTTTCCTCTCCTTTTTTCTCCTTTTATCTCTCCTCTCGTCTCACCTCCCCCTCTCCCTTCTCTTCTTTGCCGTCTCTCCTTGTCTCCTTTCCCATCTCCTCCTCTTTCCTTTCCTCTCCTTTCATCTTTCCTCTCCTTTTTTGTCCGCTTTTTTCCTTTCCTGTCAATCCTTCTCTCTTCATTCCTTTCCTTTCCATCCCTTCTCTCTCTTCCTTTCCTTTCCTTTCCTCCTTTCTCTCTCCGTTTCTCTCTCCTCTCCTCTCTCACTGAATGGTTGGATATATATATTCACAGTGGTGTATTACATGTTGCACGGTGAATACAGAAACCTGGTAATGATTGGACCACAAGGTTTTGGTCTCCTCACTCATATAGGCAGCAAAAGGATGTCATACAGTGGTGGCGGGATGTTGACACTACAGTACTCTCTGACAAAACCTAATGTCAGCAAAAAGCTGACAGTTTCACAGATAAAAGAAAACAATTGAAATAAAAGTGGTGCACCAAATCTGAGCCCCTTTCAACTTAAATGCATCATGAAAGATTTGTATTGACAGGATGTTTTACAGTCAGAAAGGGAGGTATTGTTCATTAATGGCTTACACTAATAAAACCTGTTAATAATGCCTCCTTCAGCAAGTGGAGGGGCATCCCTCAGGAGTTTCATTGTAATTCAAAGCGTCACAGTCAGGCACTGGGGATCAAGCCAGCAACTCTTCAACTACTCACTAGATTTCCTAACAGATCTGCCAAACAGCTTTTCCTCCCTCTACTCCATCCATCTCTCCTTCCTCTCTGTCCATCACTTTGTTTTCACCTATTCATCCCAACATTCTGCTGACTGAAACAAAGACAGAAAAAGAGGAATACAGGAGCGGGTGAATGAAATTAATTGAATGAATCAGTGAGTGAAACTAAATGAATGAATGAATGGATGGATGATGATAGCTTTATAAAAGCTCTATAAGTTAATTAACTGCTCCTTTGTTTCCGAACTGTGTCACCAGGAAGTGAAAGGTGGGTTTTTTTTATATATAAACTGCTGTGAAATGTTGATGTGTGTTGACATGCTAATGAGGGCAGAAACAAAAGAGTAAAGAAAGTTAAAAACAGACAGCTTTAATCATAGAGCAGCCCTGTGTTTACTTCTTTGTTGAATTTGTTTCAGTCTGAGATTAACTGATATGAAACCATATTATATTTTCTGAAAGTTCATGTATGGATCCCCCTCCCCAAACCAGGAGGTTGGTTAAAGTTTAGGCGTGATATGGAAAATAGATGGTTAGAGATATTGGCACTTTTTTGACCAACTATATATAGTGCAGGTCTTTATGAATATTACAGTGTTGTCCAGTGAAGAAGTACTCAGATATTTTACATATTGTACTTAAAAGTAGCAATACAACAGTGTAAAAATAAGTAAGTCCGCCATTCAAAATCTTACTGAAGCAATAGTACAGAAGTAATAGCATCAAAATATGTATAATTTATCACTGGATTGTAATTAGTAATGCATTAATGTGTAAACAGCTGGTAAAGGTAGGAATTTCAACCACTTTATATACTGCTGGGTATCCTAATTCACAT